ACAGCCCTAAACCCTGCTCTATCCTGTGCCAAACTTATTGTCTCTGACACACCTACCCGCATTACCCCAGTCACTGAATCAGTCCATCTCATCAACGGTCTTCCTCTTCTGCGCTGTCCCTCTACCCTTCCAAGCATGACATCCCTCTCCAAGGACAGGTCCCTCCTTGCAACATGTCCAAAGTATGTCAGACAAAGCTTCAGAATCCTTGCCTCCAAGAAGCAGCCTGGTTTCACCCTCTCCAGGTTGAACCTGTTCTCTTAGCAGTCCTTGGTATAGTCAGTACTCTTCTCTAGCATCAAAGGCATCAATTCTCTTTGAAGCACCCTAAAGAATACAAAATGTGCAAATACCCAGAAGAGCGTAAATACAAATTGGAGAGCATTCCCGTATGCCACTCAAACGACTACCTTGTCTGTTTGTTGCCTGGCATTTTGTCCATGAGCAGGAGGCTGTTATGTTTACAATTACTTTGCGTTAATGAAATGCTCAGTAACAGTCGGATGAAAGGATTATGACTGAGAAGGATGCGGCAGGCAGGTGCTTCAGCAGAAACTCCTACTCCTCAGCCTTGACTATGTTTGAAGGAAATTCTGGTGAGGAAGTTTTTGGAGTGTGATGGGGGATGGGGGCTCTGGAGTCTGGCCCAATCTGTGATCTTAAATGACTTAACTGCCTTGGGCCTCTGTTCCTCCACCTGTCAGAGTTCACAAACACGGAGGAAAGGCACTGCAGGGGCTGTGGGCTGCCACCGAGTAGGTCCAGGAACAAAACACTGCAACTGACAGTGAGGTAAAGAAAATGAACAACTTTTATAGCTCTTGTAAAAGGCAATGAATTGAGCCAACACAGTCAACTGACATGTTCTAGATTTTGACTACAAAAAAATTCAAAACAAAAGAGGATTACCCTTTACAATGGATTGCCCATCGAGACCCTGGTCACTGTATTTTTGTTTGCTGGTGCACACGTGCGGAAGCAGGTTACTCCACATCTCCAGGCATCAGCTGACAAATGAAAATCCACCTCAAGTCCCTGGAGACATCTTTATTTTTGGTAAGTGCCATCAATAATATACACAGCATCATTCTTAAAGAACAGCCTGTTGCATTTGAGTCTTGGAAACAGGTGACAATTGAATAAAAAAAACCCCCAAACCAAAACCCACCAACCCAAAAAGCTCAACTGTTTTCAGACCATGAGCAATTAATGTTCTACAGCTTTGAGGCTGTTAGACCTTAAAAGTACCTGACTGGGTCTGTCCCAGAAATAACAGCGGGCTTGTTGCAAGATGTATGCCGAGTGTATAGGAAACCCGTGAAGTAGAAATGGGTTCTCATTTGAACACATGGCGCTTGTCTGGATTTGGAACAGCTGTGTTTTCCTCTCAGTAAGCCCCCAAACCTACGACTGTCTAATCGATTTTGACTGGTGGTGACCTCAGGTGCAGAGGACCCCAGGTTCTTGGGTTGCCAAGGCCGTGATGTCTGGGAGCAAGATTACCAGGCCTGTCTTCCAAAGTGTTGCTGGGTAGGTTTGAACTATCAACCTTTTGGTCAAAAGTCAAGAGCTTAGTCATTTACACCACCAAGTCTCTTCTTTCCTGATGACAGCTGGCTTAAAAGAAGGTGCTTAAAAAGACCACAATGGTCAGAAATGCCCTCAGCCTGTTTCTTTTTCTGTAAAATGAAGAATCAGTTAAGAGTCAGCATTCAGGCATGATCAGGCCACAGGTGGGCTTCCCTAGCACAAACCCCAGCAGAGAAGGGGGTGCGAGGGGCCAGCACTGCAGATGTGGCTGGGGGTGGGGCTGGGGCCAGGAGGCAGTAGAGTGGGTGAGAGGTCAAACCAGCAAACCTCAAAAATATATCTTGATGATTTGATCAAATAGGATTGTCTCGCTCATTCCAGTGTTATGTACCTGCTGTAAATTCATTCTTATGCACATAATACCTCATTTATTAATGTTCAAACCATAAAGCCAGATAGCGATTTTCCCCTCAGCAGTGGATCTTGCCTTGGAAAAGGAAAACAACTTAAGGTACAAACTGGAATTCAATTCCATGTCCGAGGAATCTGTACAATCTCAAGGACAACTTGACAAAGAATATCTTGATGGGAAAAATAACCCCCATTTGCTATTCACCTTGAGACAAGTTCAGCCACAGGCTGCCGCCTCTGGTGAAAGGGCTTGGCAAAGCCTTGTCATAATAATGCCATTCGGGATTGGCTTACCTCATTTTCAATCAAGATAATCTGAAAACATGAGACCAAAGTGTCTTAAAGCAAGAGAAAGGCAGATGAACAGATGGAGGGACTCTAAAGCAAGTGGTGTGGACACTTACAGCCAGGAGTCACCCACCCGTGGCCCAAGGAGAGCCACAAACCCAACGTCCGCTGACTTCCTGGCACCTTCTCCCTGACGGGGCAGGGCTGAGCTCTCTAGAGTCTTCTTGGCTGTAATCTTTATGGAAGCAGACCACCAGACCTGTCTTTGAAGGCCCCTCCCTATGGGAGATTTGAACTGTTAGCCTTCAGATAAGTAGTGGAACACAAACCTTTTTTGCACCACCTAGAACTCTTAACGCTGACAAAACGGAACCTTTGAAGTGTAAAATGCCAGCAGTTCCTGTTCAAATCCACCCAGGGCTGCCTTGGAAGAGAGGTCTAGAGATTTTTTCCTGAAGGGTCATCGCCTTGAAAATCCCATGCGGTGGTTTCACTCTGACAGTACCTGACATCCGGAACACAGACACATAAATGGAAAATGCCCATTATAAAAACCAGAGTCAGCAGGAGTGACATGATTCTCTCTCTCCAAATAGGGAAACGTGCCCATTGCCAGGAGAAGGGGCAAGTCCCTGTCACATCTGCCACTAGCTCTCCCCAAGCACCAGCACCATCTGTGAGGCTGGGGACAGTGCCGAGCACAGAATGCTCCCATCCCTGAAGACCCTGCCCACTGGCGGTCCCTCCCTGAAGCCCAGCCCGCAGGAGGTACCTGCCACCTTTCTGATGACATGATACTGCCAGAACTCCTGTTCATTCTCAGCCAGAGCCTGATTTAGCAAGGCCAAGCCTAGCATGCTGCTGTCTCGCTTCTCCTAGCCCACAACATGATTCTCATTCAAACATAAAGTAACACAAAACCAGATCACATAGCCAAAACGCTGTGGTCTCGCCTAGTATACAAACATGGAGGTCGTATTCTTGATTCATTTCAACAGCTGGAGTCATATAAGGGGAGCCTGGCAAGCCCTCATTGCTTCCTGTTTGACACCACAATGTGGCAGACCTCCCCGGGAGGAATTTTGTTTGCTTTGAACCATAAAAAAAGGGAGTTTCCATCCACAAGCCAGTCCTCACAGGTCCCCTACGGAGACCAACACATAAAAACACACAACTATAAAATATCCCTAGAAAAGAGCAAGCTCCTCCCCACCAACTGTCCCCGAGTCAGCCCAGGACTGAACACGGAACACGGATGACAGGAACCGCCACGAGGAGACACCGCGCAGGGTTTCTGCAGGGTCCTCGCCACCTGAGTGAGCTGCTCTGCTTTCGCTCCCCCTGCCACCCTGGAGGGGACACCTACTGTGCTGCTGGCAAGGGCAGGAAGGGGCCGAGGAGAAGCGATTTCCTGACTCGGTAAATCTGGGCCAGCGCCAATTCAGCCAAGGAGCTGGGTGACAGGAACGTGATGCCAACTGCTCTGCACGGAGAGAACAGTTTGCCCTTGACTGTGAATGGCCGCCGGGGTTCCTGGGGAAAAGTGGGTCCCTCTGTGCTGGAGTTAATTTACTAATGCTCCCAGGGCCTCCTCCACTCCTTGCCTGTTGAGTCTTCCGGCTTCTGCTGGTCCTCCCGCTGCCCAGGGAAGCACAGAAGGCCGGGAGCTGGGCCACCCCATGGTTCTGCACTGCCCTTTCGACTTCACAGTCACTGGTTGCCAGAAGCTTCTGGTAGTGCTGGGGGTGGCGGGCAGGAGCTCCGAGCTCCCGCCTCTACACATCGTAACGGTTCAAACTGTACGTGTTTGGGTAGCTCTGCCGGCTGTACTGGAAGTGGTCTGTGAGGACGCTGTTGCGGCTGTACTGATAGTCCGTGTGCTGGGGGAACAGGAGGCCGTTCTGGGGTTTCTCCTTGCTGCTCAGGTCCCCTGTGGTGCTGGGCAGGAGGTGCTTCCTCGCTTGCTGGTTGGCATCATACTTGGTCTGCGTGGGAAAGAGAAACGGAAAATCACCCAGCACAAAACCACAAATCTACAATAAAATAAATAACTCAACTGAAAAATGTCCAAAGGTCTGGAACAGTCATGACCCCAAAAGGCTATGCGATGGCTCACAGGCACGGAGAGAGGCCCACCGTTAGCTGTTATCAACCAACCCACTCATTCCTTTGAGCCGGGACTGGATCGTAGCTGACTCTCCAGTGGGTTTTCAGAGGCTGTAAATCACACAAGTGATTGTCCATCTTTCTCCCATGGAGCTGCTGGTGGATTCGAACCACAGGAGAGGCACTGCCTTGGGTAAGCAGCACAACCCCCTACGGACTACGCCACCAGAGTGGTTCCTGGCCACTAGCAATGCACCAGAAAACCTGTGAGACAACACTTCACTCTAAAAATGAGAACAGCACAAAAAACCCAAATGGCTTTTACTTTTCAAAGAGAAGAGTGAGCTGGGGATGGGGGTGGGGTGGGCGGGGAAAAAAGTGCAACAGTGAATGAATGGAAATCCAAAATCTCTGTAAATGTTCATTGAAATTAATAAATAAATAAAAAAATTAAAACAAACAAACAAACAACCAAGGAAAAAAACCCAACCCAAACAGAAAGAAGAAGGAGTCAGCGAGGTGGGGGACAAACAGGAACCTCCCCCTTTGCTGTGGGACTGTCCACTGGTGTGGTCGCCCTGGAAGACGGCTTGACGGTTCCTGCGAAGCTGAACACAGGCGCTCCGTGTGAGTCAGCAGTTGCCGCTGTAGGAGCAGAAGTGAAAGCTGGGACACAAACAGAAACCCGTCCACCCGCCCGTGCTCACTGCACTTTTCATGAGCACCAAATGCCCATCGACAGACGGATGGATAAACACAACACGGTCCACTCATACAGTGACATCGACCCATGAAACCAGAATGAAGTCCCAGCCTCGGCTACTCCACGGGTGAACCCTGAAAACATCCTGAAGTATTAAAACAGTCATAAAAGGGCAAACAGCATGTAATCTAGCTTATAGGAAGGATGCAAATATTTAGACACCAAAGATTATTAGGGATTATTAGATGCAGGAGGGAGTTTTGGCTGGGGAGTTTATGCCAGAAGTGGTGGGACACAGTGGACAAAGACAGTGGTGGTGGTGGCAGATGCTGCAATGGCCGTTCTGCAGGAGAGGCTCACAGGACAGAGCGGGCTCCCAATTCAACCAACCAGTTATTCAAAGAGATGGACAAGTCTGGCCCAGAGCAGGGCGCAGGCATGGCCAACAGTTAACAGACCCAAAAAGAACAGAAGGGCTTGAATTCAAGTCCTATTAGCCGTCAACTTGCACCTTAAAATCCGCTGTCCCTGAGTCAGCCGACCCTTGATGACCCGCGCTACACACAGTGTGGAAAGGCCTCCAAAGAGGCTTCTTGTTGGCTGCATCTCATGCACGCAGACGGTCGAGCCTTTCTTCTGTGGCACCACTGGGCGATCGGAACCACTAACCTTCTGTCCAGCAGCTGAGAGCAAACCTTCACCAGAACTCTGTCGGCTGCTGCTGAGCTGGCCTGACTCACAGGGACCCCACGGGTGCAGAACAGAAGTGCTCTGCAGGGTTTTCTCGGGTGTCTCTGTTACAGAAGCAGTTCACCAGCCATTCTTCCAAGGAATGGTTGGGTGGATTTGAATTGCCAACCTCTGACTTAGCAGACAATCCTACACTCGAACTCTTCCCACCATCCAGGCTCCTCTATGCACCCTGTTGTTGCTGCATACCACTGAGTCGGAACCAACCCACAGCTGACTGTCCAGGGAGTATTCTGAGGCCTGGGAGGAGACTGCCCATCCTTCTCCCACGGAGCAGCTGGGGGATGCAAACTATGTGCCTTCGTTCAGAACTGCAGCACAACTTCTTACCACTAGGCCACCAGAGCTTACACCACACTAAACGCAGAGAAATCTTCAGCTACTTAGCTGTCAAAGCGTCGTGTACACCTCATAATCACAACACTGACATGCCCTGGCTTCAAAAGATCACACAGGGAAGGAGGCCCGTGCCGACCCAGGGCCACGGCGGAGATCACAACCTGCCAAGCAGCACAGCCGAGGCCGGGCATCCCGGGCCTTCCCGCTACCTCATCAGCACTGCCTGGCACGGCCACCTCTCCCCAGCTCACCTTGTTGTACAGGAAGACACCCAGGATGGCCGTCATCATGCCCAGGACATTGGTGCTGGTGACTGGGTTGCGCAGCATGATGAGGGACACGGTGATGACCATGATCCTCTTGGTGGCGTTGGCGACCGAGTAGCTCAGGGGGCTGATGAGGTTGAGGATGCTGAAGGCGATGACGTTCTGGGCAAAGTTGCAGAAGCCGCTGATGGCCAGGAGCAGGAGTGTCCAGGGCCACTGGGACACGTAGGTCTGCAGGGGGGCGAACAAGACAGCGTGTGAGGGACAACCGCAGTTCCACGGTCAACCCACAACAGGACAAAGGGCTAGAAGACGGGGTGCAGGAATTAAGCAGCTTACTCAGATCCCTGAGCTGGAAGAGAACACTTTGTGTGACGATAAACCAGCTGACTTTGAACCTCCCTGACTCCAGGAAAACCTGTGTCTTAAGCTGTACACGTCTGGGTTCCAAATGGCCAAGCTAACAGAAGTGGGAGCCAGGCTTTTCTACTGTGGTATCTCTGAGTGGAATAAAATTGTCAAATTTGTTAGCAGCGAAGCACTCAGTGTTTGTATCACCTCTGACCTTCCTGATACTTCACCAGAGGCATAATCGTCCTGATCCTGTGACAAATGGCAGAGGTTCTGAGAGATGAAGCCCCCCTTCCCCGTGCCTGAGGGAGAGGTGACCAATGCCCTCACTCATCCCAGGAAGCCATCGGCTAGGAGCTGTGGCTCAGTAGAGGACTGACGAATGGATAGTCCATGCTCCACGTGGAGGGGAGAGGAATCCTCAGCATGGACAGAACCGGGGCCTAGGAACACTCCCTGTGATGGGAGCCCCCCAGGAAGCTGCTAGACCATTCTGAGTCTGTTGTTTGGACTGAACTGTGTTCATCCAACAGGTGCCAGAATCCTAGCCCTTATCCCTGTGACGTGACTCCATCTGGGAAGACAGTGTTCTCTGCTCTGTTCATCTGGCTGTGTCAGTGCAGGTGGGCCTTAAACCTAATGACTTTGAAGATATGAAGTGAGCAGATTTGGCATTGAAGTACACAGGGGGTAAGGCAGAAGCCAGGTGGAAATGCCAAAGGAACACTGAGAAAATCCTAAAGAAATCAAGTCAAGGATTACCCCCCTTAAGCACACCCCCACCACAGGGAGCCTCCCCCGAGAGCCAGTGCCCTGAATTTGGACTTCTGGACTCCTGCGCTGTGGAAAATAAACTTGTTCGTTAAAGCCACTCTCTTGAAGCATTTCCGTTACAGCAGCTCCAAGAGACGAAGGCATTACGCAACGTCCAGAGAGTTCCCTCTGCTCAGCTTTCCCAACCCTTGCTTTAAAAACATCTCAAGCCAAACAGAAAAAAAGCAACGTTATCAGCAAAACCTAAGTCATCCTCTGGCCGCTGCTGGCACGGGGCTGCTCTGATTAACGGGAGGGGTCTTAGAAGCCAGGATGATGCAGCTAGGGAGGACATGGATGTTCCCCAAAGAGCCCAGCTGCTATCCGGACACGGAGACAGGCCAGACCAGGCAGCTGGTGAAGCACTGAGTGATGGGCATACAGCTTCTCTTTAGGGCTGGTTCCTGGAGGGCCGTGCACTGCTCCCAGGCCTCTACTCCTTCCTGCCTGCCCGCTGTAGCAGGGCCACCAACATGAGGCTGACTGAAGAGGGCATCAGGGTGCCCATCCTGCCACCACCTACAGCTCAGATGGGAGCACAGGGCCAGCACTGTGGGCAGAGGGCACGCAGTCCTCTGCCAAGGCACCAAGTGGCTGCAACTGAGCCACAAAATCTGCAGATCCCTGTGTGGACAGTGGTGCTCCATTCTTTTACACTGCTGCTGGCTTCCTAGGCTGATAGGTTTTCCATTTCAGCACTTCAAAATTTTTCCACTTTTCTATAGTCTTCAACAGTTTCTGCTGAGAAATCTGTAGTTATTGAACCTGTTGTTCCCTCATGAGTAAATCTATAATTTCCCCCTGCCCAGCTCAAGATACATTTTATTTCTGTCTTTAACTTTCAGAAGCTGGATGGTGATGTCTGGATATGAATCAATCCTGCTTAGAGTTCAGTTTCGAGAACCTGTAGATATGTCTTTTGTAAAATTTGCCAAATCTTTAAGCCTTATTTCCTCATGAATATTTTTAAAGAATTCTTTCTCTCCTCCTTTAGAAAACAATTCCAGAAAGGTCAGGCATTTAGTGTCTCCCGAGGCTCTGTTCATAGCCTTGAGTAAAGGCTGGAGACTTGGAAACCACAGAGCAAGTCTACTGTCTTATAGCGTCACTGTGACCACTTGACAGCCATGGATTCTGCGTCCCAAGCACAGCTCCTGTGACTGTAAAGGCCCCTCCCTCAGATGTTCAGGTGCCTCTGGTACACGCTGGAAGCTTCAGAATGCTCCTTAGAGGCAAGGATGGTGAAACTTGGTCTCATATATTTTAGGGACATTGTCAGGAGGGGCCAGTCCTTGGAAAAGACATCATGCGGGAAAAGGAGGAGGGCCAGAGAAAGAGAGGAAGACGGAGTGGCACAGTGACTCTAACAATGGGCATGAGCATGTGGGAGGGCGGTGAGGGTGGCACATGAGAGGGCAGGGTTCAAATCTGTTGGTCATGCTGTCACTATGAGCCGTATTTAACTTGACCTAACAAGAAGAAGAAGATACACTGTCGCCATCAAGTATTTCATTTCCTCAGCCCACTCTGACAGAAATACCACAAATGGGTGGCTTTAGGAACAATACCGGCGGCTACCAGTCTGATTTCAGGGAAAGGCTCTCTCTGTCCCCTCCGGGAGAAAGTCCTCGCTTCACCCAGCTTCTTTTCTCCACTTCCACGTGCATCCGTCTCTCCCTTACTTGTGCTTTCCAGCTTCTGCGACTTCTCCTCTCTTTTCATCACTCAAATGGAACAGGCTTAAGATATACTCTGCATGGATGTGGCCTCATTAAGAAAACAATCTGATTCTCAAATGGAATTCTATCTACAGGTGCCACTGTTCGCCTCCAGTGGATTCCGACCCATGATGACCCCACGTGATCCACAGAGTTTTCAAGGCTATGCCTTTCAGAAGCAGATCACCAAGACTACCTCTGATGCACCCCTTAATGGGCTCAAACCACCAAGTCTTCAGTCTGTAAGTAGTACAGTGCTTGAACTTCTGCATCACTCAGGGACTCTTCCACAGGTAGAGGAGGTAGGTAGGATTCCAACACATTGCTGGGACACAACATTTAATCCACATTAATACAAGAAAAGCGATCTCAGTGAGAGTCTATGAAACACGCGTCTCCATGTGCACATCACACTGTTGGTGGAGCTATACATTCAAAAGTCTAGCAGAGTGGGCACCTGCCTGTTAACAATACTGTAATTAAAAGACCTAGCAAAACGTATGATGCGTGAATACAGAGCATTGTCCACCCAGGACGCACGATGAAGAGAGCAAGGTGTTGCGGCTGGTAAGTGGGGTCGAGTTGAGCATTACTCAGCACTACTCATAGCGACCCTGTGAACAAATGAACTCTGTCCTGTGCCATCTTTATCATCCCTGACACAGACGCTGCATCGATCATCTTACTGAGGGTCTTGCTCTCCTTTGCTGGCCCTCCTTCCACCTTTCCAAGCGTGATGTCCTTGTCCACGGAGTAGCCTCTCCTAACAACATGCCCAAAATATGTGAGACGGGATTTCATCAACTCGGCCTCCAAGGAACACTCTGTTTGTACTTTTTCCAACACGTAATTCTTTGTTCTTTTGGATATTCAGCACTTTTCTCTAACACCACAACTCAAATGCATTGATTCTTCTACCATCCTTATTCATGGTTTGGCTCGTAGAAGTTATGGCAGAGTGTGTATCAAAAGTGACTTCCTGTGTAAGAAGGGATGAATGTACACATGAATGTACTCTTATTTGGAAAAAAGACACACTGAGAGTCAACTAGCACATAAGAGGTGGGTTACCTGTGGCGAAATGGGGAGGCAAATCCTTGCTTCTGAGGAGCAGCCTGGTTTCACCCTCTCTAGGATGAACCTGTTTGTTCTCCTGGCAGTCCATGGTATATCCAATACTCTTCTCCAGCACCACAGCTCAAAGGCATCAATTCTCTACCATCTCTAGTCATTGTCCAGTTTTCTGATACATAGCAAGTAATTGTGAAGACTATAGCCTGGAAGCAGGAGCGGCATCTACTTCCGAAATGGCTTGCTTCCGGAAACTCTATGTATGAACAGTGCTCAGGCTGTTTGTTCATAGGGTCGCTATGAGTCCCCTACGACTCGATGGCACCAAACAACAACAATATAGCCTTGATTAGGCTCACCTTAGTTTCCAGACTGAAATCAGTGCTTCTCAGTACTCTAGAGAGGTCGCTGACAGCAGACTTTCCCAATGCAATTCATCTTTTGATTTTCTGGCTGCTGGTACTAAGAGCGTTGACTATGGAGCCAAGAAACTAAAGCTGTTAACAAATCTCATAGGAAAAATAATATGAAATGTGGCAAGGATGCAAGTATGATAAAAACAGAAATAATGTTGTTGTTGTTGTTAAGTTCCATCGAGTCATAACAGACTCATAGACCCCTTTCCTCCTCAGTGCTGCTGAGTGTGCACTGCCAACTTCTGGTTTGTTGTTATGTACCGCTGAGTCAGAACTGACTCACAGCTGACCCTTCATAGCTGACCCTCCAGCAGGTTTTCAGAGGCAGTAAATCACATGGGAGGAGACTGCCATCCTTCTCCCACGGTGCAGTTGGTGGATTCAAACCGCCAACCTTTGGGTTGCCAAGGAAACTCCTCACCACGAGGCCACCAGAGGGTCCCTTCAGGTTAAGAGTTGAGTGGACCTACAGTAAGTCCTCAAGAAGCCCCTCACCCTTCCCTCTGACCATGAACAACCTACAGGAGCCACTGTAGCCTTTCTTACCACTATCACCTGTGTTGTTTTTAGTATATTCTCAGAGGCCCACTGCTGCAGAAGGTGGGGAGACTGACACGTGGACAGAGACAACATGAGTAAAGCCATTGAGTAAAGCTCTTTTTCAATGTCTGAGTGAGATCTGAAGATGTGTCAGGACAGGAAAGGGCCCCTCACACAGCCACTTCCTTGACACCATTGCTAACACGGCAACAGCCATCAGCTGTGGAATTCCAGGGCGACGGAGAGGGAACCACTGAAGGGGATCGAACCCCTCAGGTGTACTTAACATTCGTCATGACAATGAGCTCAGCATCAGAGCGCCAGCACCAGCTGTCAACTCTGGGCTGTGACACGCCGATAAACGCAGCAACTCAGACTCGTCGGAAGGGTGACTGGCTGGGGCCGGCCCACTTACCAGGTCGCTGCTGACCAGGAACGCCGAGAGGTCTACCAGAACCCACGTGGGGATCATGAAGAACACGGCATGGCAGCCCAGGATGTTGAGCAGCCGGAGGTGGTGGATCCGGGAATCTCGCAACACCTGGCAGGAGGAAGACCCTTTATAAACCGATCAAAATCATGGCCGGAAAAGGGGCCCCGGGCCCCAAACAGAGTGAATGTACAATGACCCTGACTTCCAACTCGATAACTGAACTTCCAAGTGCACTTACAAGAGACAGAAACTAGAGCCCAGAACAAGTGCTGCGAAGGATGAGAAGAAAAAAAACCCAAATCCAGAGAACCAGTAACAACACTTGTGAAGCTACAGCACATGAGGCATTCATAAACACTGCTGGCTTGAGGATGAACTGGTATCACCTTTAAGGACAAAGTATTTCAAGAGCCATACAGCTCTCATACTCTCTGACCCAAGAACTGGAAACGTATCGTTAGAAGAGAACCTAAAAGCAAGAAAACGTTATACGCTAAGATATCTGCGACTGCGTAATTTACAATGAACCGCTGGGAACCTGTCTGTCCAGTAAGGATCAGACGGCCTTCACTGTGGCACCTGAGGAGGGGATAATTATTGAAGCAGTTAAGAGCAATACTTTTTAATGACATGGGGAAGCATTTATGGTGAGTGAACAAAGTAAGATTTTAAAAGACACCTGCTCCTCACTCATCAGCTACTTTGTTATCTGACCTGTTAATGACGTACGTCTGGCAGAAATGAATGGGGAGGTGTGAGGGGAGAGTGACACTGGTTGGGATAGTTCAGGTGATGTGCTCCCTTCGCTGGGCCGTGATTCGCAGAGGTTCGGTGGTTACGCAATGATGGCGTCATACTCTATTTTGTGACCTGACGTGGTCCTCCTTCACTTTTGCATAACACCAATTTTCCTATTAATTGCCTGACTTTTAATAGGATGAACTGCCTGGACGCATGAGGGGTGGGTGCAGAGATGTAACAGCACGTCTCTGTTACCCAGGAAGGAGAAAGGAGCACTACCTTGGAGGACAGATCTGGGACTGTGCTCAGCACCGTGGAAAGTGCATGGGCAAGGAGCAGGCTCATTCACCTCCAACACCCCCTACAGGGTCTGCCACAGTGTTTTTCAGGCCTCGAAGGTTTTTGATTTTGGGCTTTCCTTTTTCAGTTTGCTTCATAAACTACATTAAAAAAAAATACAACAATACACTTGACAAACAGAAAGCCAGCAGACAAGCAAGGAGGATTTTCCCACGCCAGCATGGAGAAATCTCTTCTTGTCTTCCCATTCTGTCTGCCAACTGTGTGCCCCAACCCACCACACATGCCCCAGCTGTGACCCAGTACCTTTTTGGAGAAGATATTCTGAAGGGAGAAGCACAAGGTGGCTGCCAGCGCGCTGAGGAGCCCCCACATGTCAAAAGACAGCTCCGTGACGGTGGCCAGCAGGACGCCGCTGATGATGGGAATGAGGGACAGGTAGACCTGGGGAGGAAGGCAGGGGCTGACCACGAGCTCCAGGACCCGCCACGGTAGGACAGCCCCGCGGGACACCGAATGAGCGGAGTCGGGGGGACGGGGGCTGGGACGGCACGGAGCAGATGGCCACAGTGTGTCTGAGGCAGGCTGTCTTGCCACAGGTGGCTTTATCTCCTATTCCAAATGCTGGGTAACGGGAAAGGCAATATACAATAAGGGTGTGATGAGACACTGTCATGAATCACATTGTTGTTGTTCACTGGTGCAATCTGCACTGACTCTCAGCCGGTCCTCCATCAGGTTTCTAGAGGCTGTAAATCACTCAGGAGGAGATTGCCTATCATTCCCCCACAGAGCAGCTCTAGGATTCGAACTGCCTGCCTCTGGGTTACCCACAGGGTAACTGTCTCATTTGAACTGCCTGCCTTACCCAATAGGTTATCAGAGCACCATTAAACTGTTATCAGTTAACTTTAATTGATTTTATAAAACAAAAAGCATCTGAATGACTGAATGAAACCCAGTATGGTTTGTAAACTTTCATGCAAATTCAACAAAGTGTTTAAAAACAACTTTTTTTTTAAAAAAAATAAGACTCTGAAAACCCAAATGTCTGAGACTCTCATCGACATCACCAGCCACCACTGGGCTGACGACTTCTGTTGACCACACAGGGTTTGCATGACTCATTTTCTGGAAAGACACTGTCAGAATTGTTTCCCAAGGTACTTTTTGAGGGGACTCAAACTCCAAGCAGTAGGCAATGGAGCATATTCACAGTTTGCACCACCTTGAAGCTTGCCCACTGAGGAAAACATTACTCAAGTCCTCACTCTTTCAAAAGAGAGCTCTGATGGCCTAATGGCAAGACGGTTGGTTGCACTGCCAACTCAAAGGTATATGGGTCGAATCCATCAGCTTCTCCAAAGGAGAAAAGACAGGCAATCTCCTCCTGTGTAATTCACTGCCTCTGAAAACCAACTGGAGGGTCAGTTTTGAGTCAGTTTCAAGCTGACAACACTCAACACCACCACCAACTTCAAATATACACCCCTGGCCGGTCACCCTCTACCCACATACCACCACCACCCTTCCTCACCCCGCAGGTCTCAGTTCTCACATCATCCTAAGGAGAACAGCCCCTGCCCCACACCGGCCCTGAATGCCCTTTGGCCATGGGTGCCCACTGCCACCTGCGCCACCTCTTATGGCATCACGCTTCATCCAACATCACTGTTAGCTGCTGCTGAGCTGGCCCTGGTTCGTGGCTGCCCTGTGTGCAACAGAAGCACCAGAGTCTCATCAGCCCTCTGTGATCCATGCCCACGAACGATCGCGAACCCCTTGTGTTTTCACTGGCTAACTCATCCCCAGAACACACGCTTCTTTTTTAGAACAGCATCACAACCCCTAAGACTGGGCTGGATTTTGCCCAAAGTTGCTTCTTCTGTCTGACCAACATCTCCCTTCAGATTCCAAAAGGTCCCTTACCTGCCCCTACACGCAAGGAAACGGGACTTTTGTTATAAAGAGGGCAGGTAGGGGACAGGTGAGTCTGAGAGAGGTGCTGAGCTGAAATACCACCCTGTCACTGCCAGCATAGTGCCTGGTAGCCTTTCACTAAGTCCGCTGAAACCTGTCCAGCATCCCCGCAATACATGAGCCTTCATGACAAATGGTGCACTGGCCTGGAACCGAACGTGGGTCTCCAGTACAGCAGGTGAGCATCCCACCACGGAGCCACCAGCATCTCCAACACAATAACTACCCTGTGTTTTTAATAAGCACTCTTGTCAGGGCAGGCTTCTGCTGACTGCTGCCTGTATGGATGCTTGTGAACACAGAGCCCCAGCATTCCAGGACAAGGCAGGGGATGGCTTCCATCCCAAGCTCTGCTGGAAAGTTGCTCAATTTCCAGGCACGGCCTCTACTCCCAGTTCCTTGATAGCATGTGATGCCCCAGGGGCACTGTCACTACCAAACCCTGACCCCAGTTCCTCAGTGCAGTGCCAACTCACAGGTGTGTGACTGTCTCCTTTAAGTCCCCTTATCTGATTCCCTGTGTTATCTGTCTCAGGGGCTGGGGGTGGGGGTGCTGAGCCAAAGTTACTTAGTATTAGTCATGCGCAGCTCCCAGGGCCCTTCCTATATATGAGAGGTTTCCGGGCTGGGTACAATGTCCCTGCAACGTGCCACTGGGAAACCTGATAAACTCGATGGGCTATCGAGTGATACTGCAGCACACCTCCCAGGCAACCCAGACCCTGGCGTGACAGTCATTCCCTTGACGTCACCCAGGGACAGGTGGCAGAACACACCTTCCTCTACCAAGAATAAGAGACTAGAATAAAAAGCCCGGCCAGAGGTGGCCCAGTTTCTACGAGCAGATCCAGGGCACAGCGACAGTTCTGAGTTACAGGAAAAGCACCATGCCAGACAGAAACCAACCACCTGGACAGGAGTGCTCTGTCCAGCAGGGAAATGGGTTCCAGCTGGGCTCGGGCTGCCATCTAAGCTCCCAGGAAGGAGGCTGTGTCTGGCTGAAGCCCCAGCTTCTCCCGCCCGCCACCCCAAGTAGGAAACACCCTGGCTTGGCATCTTGAACAGACGTGGATTTGTGCCAAGAGCACCTTACTGAGGCAGCCCTGCGTGTGCATGTTTGCCACGTCCATCTCCAGAACACAAGCTTCTTTTATTAGAACAGCATCACAACCCCTAAGACTGGGCTGGATTTTGCCCAAAGTTGCTTCTTCTGT